GATCAATCACTGCAGGGAAAGCGCAACATTATCCTTGGGCAGAGGACAAAGTCAGTCACGAGCAGAACCACCAAAAATCATTTCTATCCAACTGTATTTTATTATATTTCAGTAAAAAGTATGGAGATTGGAATCTTTTTTTAATGTTAGTAATTTTTGCTTGACAGTTTAAAAAATCACTTGAAGATTAGACCACCGAGCTCTGTGTGACCTATTTAGTGTATTGGGAATCTCAGGAGGGAGTAATCTTAATAGATATGAAAATTGAAGACTTTTTTTTCCCCTCCGTCGTTACTTTAATTCACTAATTGCCTAATTCACTGGAGAGTGAAGTCTGTAAATGGGATGGTGGGTCTCAATAGATTTTAGACCCAAATTTCTGAACCTTGGATGAGGATGGCATCTGCGAAACGCGCACCTCTTCCTAGCGCCATTGTCGCCAGCGAATTGGTCCAGGTCAGTGCATGAGCTGCTTGATGTTGTTTCAGCACCAAGCTCCAGGATGAGAGAGAGGATCTTGAGCAGAAATACACCTCTGAGGTCTGTGACCTGAAAGACCAGATTGAACTCCTCCAGATTGAGGTGCAGAAGGCCAATTTGATTTTCCAGTACAAGGCTGAGGTGAGCTGTAAAAATACTATGTTTTCCTGTTGGCGTGAGACTTGAACCGGCAGTTCAACAAAGGTCAAACAAAGTAGTCAAAGCAGTAATTGCAAGCAACAGGAGGCCATTTGAGCTCATTAATCTCAGAATCTTACCCAGCCCTTTTCAAGAAGCCAGGATATTGGCTTCACAACACAGTTGTGGGAATTTGGAACAATACCTTTATGTAAAGAAGTGCCTCCCGTTCTCAGTTTTATTTTTTAAAATGTCACGTTTTAACATTGAACTTTGTTCTGTGGGTCGTATTTCATGGTAGCCCGTTATTTCTGTCCCTCCCACACAGAAGGAAAAAGAGACGAAGAAACTGTCTGAGGACCTGATGGAGTACAGACAACTCTATCAACAGCAAAAATCTGAGAATGCCGTAAGGACGTCTGCCCGATTCCCCCTAATTAATCCCCCCGTTCTTGAAGACTTGTTCACTGAAATTATTTCCAAAAAAGTCTGTGGGTAGCAGTCTTGTGGGTTAAATTTCCTGTTAAGTATGTTTCTCTCTGCCTGATGCTTGTCTCTAGCTCTCATAACATGGGGTTTTTTTTTTGGTCACCTGACATTTGTCCTTTATCGGTGGCGATGACCGTGATCAGTAGCTTTCTGTTTAGATAAAAGGCACAGATAGCTCTATTGCTAATGGATCGGAAGGCATTTAGAGACTTGGCTGTTTTGAAAGGCCCAAGAGGGGGGGGGGAGAGAGAGAGAGCATCTTGTCACATTAATTTACGCCACTGCAGTGACTCAGCAGGCAGTGCAGATGGGCCAGAGCTCGAACACTTGAGAGCTGGGTGGGCACAGTACCACACCACTCCATCCAGGCCTGTGCATTTGCTCTTGGCACCTGTTCCTGCAGGTCTCGGTAATGGTTGGCTATTATTATTATTATAGAATTATGTGCAACAGAAGATAGGAGGCTGAGCGGAGCCGAAGAAAACATGCGCGCTGAGCTGCTCAAGCTTTTAAAAAATATATATTTTTTTTAATTCAATGAATTCCTGCATACATTTTAAGACTAATGGGAATCGTAGCAATTGTGTTGATGAATTATTGAAAGCTTTGTGGCGTACTTTCTATGGTCTGTTGCTTTCTTATTGATCTTCCCTCCCTGGCATGTGGTGAATTCTAATGATTGTTCCCACCCTATGACCTTTTTTTCCTGCCCTTGAAAGTACACGAGTTGATTTTTCCAAGAGCAGCTTGCCTGCACTGTTCCTTCATTTCCCAACGTGAAAATCCTGCTCTTGACCTCAATAGCGTGTGACATTCTCTGGTAATCTTAAAATTGCTCTGAGACCTAGGACAGATAGTCTTTCCTCTGTGTATTACAGAGAGGTCCAAGCGTTTGCTGACAGATTTTAAGAACTTGCCTGTGGCATATTTTAACTAATTAATGCATTCTCTTAATGGAGAGATGACTTTTGGGAATAATCTTTTTTTTTTTCCCTCATTCTCGTTTATATTCCCGTTCACTGCAATTTATGGTACCAGGGATTTTGTTAAATTTAAATTCTGGTAGTTATGAGAGGTCGGATAGGTGGGTTTTTTTTCCATGGGGGGTGGGTTTTTTTATTCAGCGGTATATCTAATGGGGGGGGGAGACTTAAATCTCTTTGGATAGATGCTGTTGGACATGTGCACAGTACCTTTGTGTGTGCCACAGATCCTGCACGAGGAGCAGATGCAGCTGGAGAGGTCTCTGAAGACGCTCCAGGTGGAGGCCCAGGCGATGAAGGAGGAACTATCCCACGTTCAGCAGGGCTCAGGACAGGGGCCCTCCTCCTCCCTGCAGGAGAAGATCTTGCTGCGCAAGGAGGCAAGGCTCAGAACGGCAGGGGCGCTGCAAAAGAGACGTGGGCTCCGCCGCATTCGGAAACGCCCGGTTTCAAGATGGCGTTTGGCCCTCCCTCCGCGGGATGGGGCCTGGGGCTTGCAGCTCTGACGGCTACAGCTCAGCCTCGCTTGTTCATGTTCTTGCCCACCGTCTCAATCGAAATTGGCACTGCTGATCAAGGGCCCAGCTGGGGCAGAAACCAGCAGGTTCCAGGGCTTTTCTGAGACCAGAATTGAGCACCACTGCTATAGGGCACCTGTGATGGGTTCAGCTTCAGGTCTTTCTGAGCTCTACTTTTTCATCATAGTGAGCAATTAGAAAATTCTGCATTCGCCTGTCTGAACGTTGATGTTTGTCCAGCCCATTTTAGTTGCAGCATAGAAATCATGCTGAATCTTTGCCTTCAGAGGGGTTGTTGCTTTAACACATCTAAATGTATTTGTTTCTTTAGAATCTTCCACTATTTGATTACTTTTCTCCCTTTACCAGCATGGTTGTAACACAAGGTTGTTGTTTTTTTTTTCTTAATACTCCTGCTTCTAGGTGGAATCCCTGAAGTGTAGGGTCATAGAGGTTGAGGAGAGCAAGAGAAAACTTCTTGAGAGAGCCAAGAGACACGTGAGTGTTCAAACAGGCTTTTCAATTTAATCTTCATGTTCACGTCAGTCAGGTCGTCTCCCGGCAGGGCTGCGGCATTCTGGGTGAGACGCCTCCTGAAATGAATTATTCACTCATTCCAGCAAACGGTATACGAAGAGAACCAGCGGAAGTCCTTGCAGGAGCTAAAGACGCTGGATGAGATGATTGAGACTGTGAGGAAGGTGGGTGGGAGCCGGCCTGCTGTGCTGCAGGAATTGGAGCCCTGTAATTGACTTGTCATTTCGATTGTAAATCCTAACTGGGGACCAGCTCACATCTACAAAAATAAGTTCTGTTTCAGGTGTGGACTCCCTTTTAGTTCATCTGCTCAAAACTGTCTAGCAGAAGTGAAAAGGGATTTTTTTTCCCCCAAATCGTGAGAAAATGATGCCATCTGACTGTCCCATTCTGTCTTGCCTGTTTTTATTCATTACTGAAGATTTTCAGTGTCTGATGTTCCCTACCCATCATAGGAGAAATTCTTATTTGATGTATCTGGTTAAATAAAGGATTATATTAATGACTTCGTTGTCATCTCTGAACTGAAGCGTCTGTAATATAGACTGAATATAATGGAGTATTTTTCTTCTTTCAGACCCTGGGCTCTGTTCCTGATCTTGTTGCTGTGTCTCAGGAGCTGCAGGCCTTGAGGGACTATCTTGGTTAGAGTGACATTGAGACTGTGGTTTGTAATTAATGTATATAATGCTCCTCACGTTTGATAATAAAGTTTCTTTTTCAAAGCAAAACTGCACTTTTTTTTATTAATCCTACTGATACCAGCATTTGCTGTCTATATGAAATAATCTTTGCAGCAGAACTCATTGTCAGAACTCTCCTTTCCTCATTGACTCATTTTACCAGTTTTTCTTAATCTGTTCAGGGTAGTTTCTTTCATGTTTTAATTTAGTTGAACTAAATCACCTGTTTTTTGTTCTTAATCGTTTGCTAATTAAAAGTATCTGTAACTCACACAGATCTCTGTCCCTTTGAGGACTGGAGTTTCCCACCTCTCCTCACAACATAGTTCACCAGACCAGTTCAATTCAAGCTCTCCAGTTTTTCAGATCTGTCTTTTATATGGGTTTCAAACTCTCACTTTACAGCTGGAGCTCTGAATAACTTTGGTAATCTGAATTAGGTTAAAGGCCATTAAAAAGGAGAACATTTTGAGGTGACTTGAAGCATTTAACATTCAGATCTGTTAAATATAGGACTGTAATCGCTGGCAAAAAAGATGTGTCCTGCACTCCTGATCAGACCCACTTTCTCCCTGAAATGACCTTTCCTGCAATGGACCTGTGGGGATTTATGACCTGTTGCAGCAGATCCTGTATTGCATGTGTGGGGTTATGAACCCAGTAATAACTGCACATACCCCTTTATTACGATTGCATCACTAATAAAGCTGTGGCTTCAGGAGATGAAGGGCTAAAAATCTGACTCTGGTCTGGGGTCGTTACTCCTGACCTGGCTTGAGACTCCTCCTGATGTACAGGACTCCTCAGGAACAGCTGAAAGGTGGGATAATGGGGATAAGGTGGCTCTGTTGAAGGCTCTTCAGAAGGGACACAAACAGTGTAATTGTATTGCAGATGTATGGTTGGCTGCTTGATGAAATATTGATTTGGAAAATGTAATGGGATACCCTGACATTGGTTAATGAGTGTCTAATTATCGCTCCTTAAAAAAACAACAATGAGGGATATTCAAGATTAAAAAATATATATAATCACACAGCGGTGAAGGGCATTAAAATGGGACGTCTGTCACATCCAAAACCTTTCCAAATAAGAACTACAGAGTCATGCTAGCCGTCGCCTTCCCTACGCGTGTGACGTCTGCGCGATTAAGAGCCGGTGATATTCTAATGAGGCGGTGACGTCAGGCCCCGCCCCCCTCGGGCTGGTTTAGTGAGAAGTCACGTAGCTCTGCGGCATTGAGGCAGACTCGCTCCAGCAGAGAAGGCATCGTCTCTTCCCCGCACTTACCGGCCAGTGCAAGCACTTATATTTAATTTAGAAAGGTAAGACTGTCTACCGTAGCACAGTTGACTTCCCCAGAACCTTATAACGCGCTGTTTTGAAAGACTGTCGAGACGGGAGTTTCTCAACCTGATTTATCTTCTTGAAAGGTTTTTCGTTAAATAGCTTTATGTAGCTTTTTTTTTCCGTGTCACTTATACAATTAAAGGTGTGAATGAGCCGTCTTGCGCCTCGTCTCTCCGGTACCTCGGAGGTGAGATGGAGCCGCAGTCCGGGATGTTATGTGGAAGGTCACCTCGATTCGGTCGGGATTCGACGATAGAAAACGTTTCATCCTACGGAAGCCATAGCACACTAAGAGGGTGCCTTTTAAACTTTAAATGATCTGGTGGGAGGTGTTTTCGGGTTGTTGTTGTTTTTTTTTTTTAGACTGAGAAAGCGTCGCGTTTGGGTTGGTGATGATGACGGCGATGATGGCTCATTTAATGGTGCCTTGAGCTCCGTCTGTCTTCTGTGCGTCTGTTTCGTCATGCTAAGGGCTAGATATCTCATCTCTTTTATTTTCCTAGCTAAATGAAGAGGGATGAAATGTTCTAGAGCGGTACACATGCGGAGGTAAAGTCGGGGATGCCGAGGTGAGGTTTTGCCTAGAGGGTCGCCCGAGGGGGCAGGAAACGCATCTTTTAAGTTTTGAGGGTGTCCTGGCCGAGTGAGACCCCGGCTGGACGCGGGTGGTGCTCAGACCTGCCCGCAAGGTGTGAGAGGAGCGTGTCTCCGCGGCGGCACGTAGGCACTGGCTGGAGCACGGTCGAGGCTGACGCGTGCTGGATGTGTCATCGTCTTCCTCCTCGCGGATTGCCCCGCCACGCGCCTCCCCATCCCGGCGGTAACGGCGTCTCGAGCCGGGGAGAGCTAGCGGGGGCCGCCGGCCGCGCGACGCGCTTCCCGGAGGCCCGAGAGGGGGAAAAATAATCATCCCCGTGGCCCGCCGTGATCTCCTCTTCCTCTCGCCCGGTTCGGCGCAGAAAGGTGCCGATATAGCCGAGCTGGTGTCGAAATCCGACGGAGAGGAAATAGGAAATTGCGGTGGTATCGAGTGTTTCGAAACAGGTTAAAAAAAAAAACAGACGGGCTAATTATTCATCCCCTAATAGCTCTTCTGGTTGCTAGGTAGCTAATTGATCCGCGGATCTCATCAAGCCGGTCCTTGGAAGTCGTCAAGGGCATCAGTTGCTACAAAATGGCGCGGGGGCAACGAGTAGAGCTCTTCAGGAGAGCGGGTGGATATTAACGGTGTCTTGATCATCCGTGGGGTCCGGGAGCTGGAGGCGAGGTGTCGGGTTCGGTTCCGGGGACCCTTGCGGTTTGGACCCGCCCCAGCCGGAGGCCGACCGCCGGTGATGCTCTTGGCCCGGGGCTGGGGGGCGGTTTTCCTCCGGTAGCCCCGCACTGCTGTCGCGCTGTCCAGTTTTCCTACCGAAATGACCGTTCCTCTGAGACGGGAGAATAAACCTGGAGGTGCAGTGTGGGTTTTTTTTTTTTCCCGAGCAGAAGCCAACGGGCTTAAATGTACTTGACGCGCGATGTTTTTGCCCGTTTTGGAAAGGGTCGGAGCGGGGAGCAAGCTATGAGAAAACGGGTCCAGTTCCTGGACTGGAGCTGGAAGCAGTGTGACTCGCTCTGCACTGCCGGGCAGGAATTCGTGACTAGACCACAAGTCAGTAATGCCCACGGGCCGGGGGGGGTCAGAAGTGTATTTTTAAACTGAGCCGGGGGCAGGCGCCACTTACAGCTAATCTGCTGTGGGTCAGGAGTGGAGCCCTGGAGCTTTCCTGCCTGCAGTCCGGCAGTGCCCGTGCTCCAGAGCAGGCCTGTGCAGTCCTGGAGTCCCTCCTACGCTGTCGGACCCCGAGACGGGCTTAACGGAGTTCATTTCCATCTTTTGGCCGTTGGACGCTGCTCTTAAACGGGTGGGAGGTGCCCTTTAATTAGTGCAAACCCGCATTCTGAAGTAGCCAAGTGGCACGTGTTCTCCTCAAGCTGCCCGTTCGGTTAAGGGTGAAATCTTAGGTGGAAAAGCTGGGCTGGACTGAGACCCTGCGGGTGTCTTGGGTGGCAGACTCCAGCTCCAGGGAATGGTGGCTTGTGGGGTGTAGCCCCTGATATTGTAAAGGTTCTTATGGTTCCTCTCAGCAGTTAACGCAGTGGGGAGCCCGTGAAGCTGTTGATTGGTAAGGAATGCACTTCGATTTATCTAGTGCCTTTCATGAGAGTCAATCTCCATGTGTTTTAACATTAAAAAAGCTAAAAGTCAAGAAAGTTAAAAATTCACTAGGAAGGAAAGAGGAAATCAACTGTTTATAGTCCTGGAAGTTGACAGGCTTGCTGGTAAGGAAGGGCTCTAGGATCTCTTGACACTGCTTGGTATGGTGTTGATCCTGCTGTTGCTGCCATCCAGTAAATTCTCTTCTCCGGCACAGGCCTGATCAGGGCGTTCAGCATGCACTGCCCCCGCGGGGATGGGAACAGTTATACGTCATGCTCGCAGGAGGAGAGAACGGCCTTGATCCTGACGCGTGCAGTTCTAGTCGTCGGACGATGCTTTTCCTGTTATCTGGCCAGGCCAAAAGAGCAGAGCCCAGATAAATGACTGCAGGCCAGGCGGGGTGTCTGGTAATGAACGGGTCCCGTGATGTCGGGTGGTGTGCGGCAGGGTACAGTCCTTTAATTCCTTTTTATATAGCGTCCTGCAGCTCTGTTTGTGACCTGCTGGTCGACAGCTCTGGCCTGTCTGAGACGGCGCCCCTCCCTGGCTGGGTGTGCGCATTGCGGGCTCTGCCCCTGCACTTGTCTGTCGTCACCTCGCTCTCCTGCGCCAGCAGGGCGGGGAGGTGGGGGGGCAGGAAGGTGCACTGTCAGTCTGATCAGCTCCCCCTCCCAGAGTTCCATTGCAACAGTGTCAAGATGACAAGATGATTCCCAGAGGCGCTACACTGTGATGTGATTTTTGGGCTCTGTAGATTCCTGGCATGTGGGTGCTTGCTTATTGATTGGGATTGATCATGGGTCCTGGAGCAGGAACCCGGAAAGGAGGAGTCGGCTCTGACCTTGTCCTGAGGTCCTGACCTGTTGCTCCATGAACAC